CAGAAGTTTATCTCTAAAGGACTTTATCTTGTGTAATATATTTCATGAATATATATCTGTGAAGGAAAATTGAACAAAAAATATTTTACATAATAAAGTTAAGCTGAAAATGCAGAGACATTAAAATACTTAAATTGCCAATTATAACCCCCCCCCCCCCAAAAAAAAAACAGTCAAGGAATATTTTAAGATAAACAGCATTATAATTAGACTATTCTTTTGAATATTATCTTAAAGAAATTCAAACGTTGAAAAAAAAATCACAATGTTTTTAGCAATATCAACCAAGCTTAAATTATCCACTCTCTACAGTTTACATTTCTAAACGATCTTTAAATCTCAAATATAAAATCAATTTTTTGTAGATGTTTCTGTATCATTCACAAAGCATTTCACTATTATCATGATAGGGAGCACACGGCGGGATAATCTCTCCTCCATGGCACCTGATTCCACCTTTGATGTTTCGGGGATCCGTGTTTGCTCTGCTCTTATTTTGTATTGTTTTATGGACTTTGAAATTAAGTACTGTTCGTTATCTCCATATCCTTCTTGTATAAACAACTATGGATCATCACATATACCTGTACTTGAAGCAGAATTGTCGTCCGCAACTTCTGTTTCCCAGAAAAGTCCTGATCTGCCATCAATACACCCAATACATCGACCTGTTGTAGGATCACAGAGCATTCCCCTGCAGAACTCACTGCATGTCATATTACACTGTCGTCCATAGAAACCTTGGTCACATTCTGCAGAAGATTAGCACATAAAATAAATGTTTAAAAGACATATCCTATCGCTCAAAACCCACTAAAAGCTTGATATATCATAAATTTTGTGTTCTTAATCATATAAATTTACATCGTAGATGAAGCTAACTATAATTTTTGTTGTTAATGCGCAGTAACTAATGTATGGTACCGTTGAAGAGGGCAACATATCCTCTCTCCTCAGAAGTGTTAAATCCATACACGGATACATAAAGTATGCCTCGATTTCATTAAAAACAATTTTACATGTGCAAACATTATAGCTTTGACATTTCTTTACCACATCTACATGTATCTTTTATCATTCGAGGTACAACAAATTAAGGATCATTTATTTATTGAACGATTTTCTATTCATAAAATTGACTTTATAGCAGAAAAGTATCATGTATCCATTTATGAAAGCTCAAAAATGCATACTTATCAGTGTAACATTTTTTCCCCCTTTTTTGTGATTAGCTAGATTTAGTAAGACTTAATTAATACTTACTTAATACTTACTAGTAGTGAAAAAAATAAATGATATATATATGAATGTTGGTATTAATTTTCCATTTCATGAAGATCAAAATAAATGACAAAAATATTGTTAATTTAATAAATGTTCAAAAACATTCTATAGCATGATATTTCAATAAAAATCTCAAATACAGGATCAATTTTATTCAGTCTACTATGGATTTTACTTTACTTCAACAATAAACAAAAATAAGATTGTATTGATATTAAAAAGACAATTGTTTGAAAATATTCTGAAAAATATTTTGATAAAAAGTAAACCCAATAATTTGCAAATAAAGATTTATCGCAATTTTCCAAGATTACAAGTATTGAAATTAAAATACCATCAGATGTCCTCCCCGCCCAACCCTTAATACAGCCATCAAAACACTCCCCGGTTACTGCTTCACACGATGTTATGTTTTTACAGTTAGGAATGTAGCAAGGAGTATTACAATTCTGACCAAAGTATCCATATCGACACTCTACAAAGAACGACAAACACCACATTTTGAATATTTTGTAGAGAAAACAAGGATCACTGATTACTTGTTATTTTTGTACATATACGATCAAATTAAACTAATCTTAATAACCTAAATGCATAGAACTTAAAAACGCAATCAAAAGACCAGGAGTAAGATATTGGTCCTAGATCGCAGGTTCGAAACCACTGTTCGAAAACTGACGTCTAAATTAAATGAAACAGCAAAAACTGAGGTCGTGTGCCGCCAAGTTGCTGACACAAAAAATAGATCCCACTGCTCAAAGGCCTTAAGGAGGCTCATTACACCACTTTTTGATGACGTACTACACAAAAAAAATAAACCTCCATTGTGTCGACCGGTTTCCTCTGGGGACGAATTGTACAGGTACCTCTATAATATGACCCTGACCTTTAAAACGCTTTAAAAATAGATGAAACATGCGGTGTTATAAACAGTCAAATCAAAGTAACGGATTCATTATGCATAAACCAAGAAGAATTGCTTTTAAGCAGAAGCAAAAGAAAACAACTGTCAAATCTTCGCCAAACAAGTAATGTCAATTTCATAGTAATGCAATGAAGCATGCAGTGAGCTCCATCAAAGTTTGTATGGAGGAAATTCGAGTTAAAATCTACAACCTTGTTGAAATTAAAAAGTTATTTACTTGCACTATTTACTGTGTTGGTGTTTATTTATATAGTTGCTTTATTGATTTAAATGTATACAGTGGCAATTTAAAGCTTTGTTCTGAATTTTAGATGGAATGTCAAACGTTCCTTAGTGTTTTGAGTCTTGGGTAATTAGGAAAGATAACTCTTGAAAGTAGACTTTTTATACCAAATATTTTCAAATTGGATTTTTCATTTCGTTCAAACATTCTTCATTCAGTTTGACACATGTAATTCATTGAAATACATTCCTTATGTCTTCAGAACTCATTTTCTTGATGTTTTATGCATAGATTAAAAAGATAATGACATTAATTGTTTTTTAGGAGAAACTTATTTTTTCTAATAAAATTATTATCAGGTATTATGAGGTATTTTCAATGTCTATACTTGTCTTAAGAAGATGCCCATTATTTGACACTGAAAGTTCTGAAATTCTTTTAATAATGAACTTGAAATGAAACATTTAACTAAAATTAGACAAAAACTAAAAAATTCTAGAAAAAATATTTCTGATATCAATACCCCCATCAGGATATTTGACATCTACATTATAAGTGGTGCTGTATTGAAATCTAAAATAAACTGTTGATGTAATGAGCCACCTTAAGTATTGAGGTGCCGTGGATTTTGCAGCGCCCATTCACAAGTGATTGCCTCTCAATACGAGTGCGGGAGGTTTAACAAACAGACTAAATATAAACACATGTACAAAGGAAATGAATGCTTTCACAATCAATGCATTAGTGAGAAAGAATATGTAGTATCAAATATGTAAACTGTAAAGAGAGAATCTGTACAACATTTTAAGGTAAATCAAATTAATGTCATGCCAGTTTAAAAAATTATTCATTTTTTTTAATTTGCCTTTTACCGCTACAAAAGATTTTTTAGCCGCCGAAACTCAGTTTGATTGATTGATTGTATGTTGTTTAAAGTCCCTCTCGAGAATTCTTTACTCATATGGAGACGCCACCACTGACCAGTGGAGAGCTGTAAATTGTATCCTTTGCTCGGCACTCAGGGCCATTGAGCAGGGAGGGATCGTTTCGTGCCAGCACCTTCAGCGACACGAGACCTCAGTTTATACGGTCTTATCCGAAGGACGGGTCTTGACGTCCCATGGGTTTCGAACCCTCGACGTAAGGATTAACTCCTTACTTCCCGACCATATAGCAGACGCTTTAACCACTGCGCCACGCAGGCGATCATTCTCAGTTTGAAGAAATAATGCCGTTTCCTTGATATACCCTGTAATAAATTTACAAAAAGTGAAAAAATGTGAAAATTACACGAAGATAGTACCTCAGGAGAATTTCCCTGTAGACGGTAATATGGAAAGACAAAATAATGCATGAATACAATTTTCAAAGACTGTGAATTTAACAGTATGTGATAATTTAATACATTGGTAATTAACTTACTTTGATCACACTTATCTCCTCTCCATCCAGGAGAACAATCTCCAGGGCATGAGTCATTCACGTGGTTACATAATTGATTTTCAATACATCTCCCACATCGGACAGAACATCCTTGTCCATATATACCAGCTTGGCATTCTAGAAAATATATAAAACGAAAGTTAATGCATTGCAATTATGACAACCATTTACTTTTCATTTATGTTTTTATTCATGGCATGTCAACAACATGTTATTAAACCTCTTTACAATTTTGGCCATACTTTATTCTTGAATCAATGGAGAATGAATTGATTATATTTTTGTTCTTGTATAAAACCCCAGCAATGACAACGAAGAAGCATTGCATGAGAATTTGAAAAGTGTTAAGAAAGCTCAAGGACAGTGGTTATTTTTGAATTGTCATTTTTTTTTAAATAAACAACACATTTTCATCTGTCTTTTGTCGTTTGAAAATTAGCATTAATTGCCATGCACTAAATACCCGTGAGTTTCGCAACGTTCTTGAACTCGCAAATACCTATTCTATTTATCCGTTGAAGATGTTAGAAAAAAAAACTAATCGTCGTAGATTGATTTCAAACTGTTTTATCTTACTTTGTTTTAAATGACCATGTGATGCAGTATATATGCATACTTAATATCTAAGCACACTTAACAAAGTTGTAACATCAAACTATCATGTAAAGGGTTTCCCGCTCCCTGAACAGTCTACTCACAGTCTGCCACAATACCTACACTTTGGAATATTCTACACTACTGATATTTTGTTTGTTAATATAGAACATTTTGATAATGGACAGTAGTCGACATAAAAATCCAATAGCAACAAAAGTCGTTGACAAGAGCACAAAACCGAAGTCTGGAAATTAGAGACATGGGATCGGGTGCCTAGGACATGTAAGCGGTCTCTTCTGACCGTCGCAATGTCCATGGCTCCTACATATTGAACAGATATACAAACTTTTTTCTAAGATTATACCAGTATAATATATGCGTTTGTTTTTCAAAATACTTTAATTTTGAATTTATAATTAAAAGTATTTGAATATATTAATTTTGTTATGCGTGGCCAAAGCAAGACTCAGTTTCCATTGTAATCCTCCACCCACTGTTTAAGTGTCTAAAAGCATATTACACAGATACCTGTTTCACAATACCGCCCAATGTATCCATCGTTACATTCAAAACATTCTCCAATCTGAAAATGGCATGTGTTATTCATACAGTTCGGAGGACACCGGGTGCAGTTTTCTCCGTGAAATCCCAGGTCACATCCTGAATTACAACAAAACCAAAAATTGCTGCAAAACCAGAACTACTAACCGATTTTCAAGGCATAACAATGAGGAAAAAAATAACATAGTGTCATTTCAAGTTCAGAAAGGATTCATATTAAAAGCAATGTAGCAAATAACTTTCCAAAGAATGAACTTGACTTATAGTTAAAAAAAAACTTGTTTAAATACCAAAACAAAACCAAAAAAAAAAAAAAGAAAAACAGTACTAGATTTTTTTTCTCATTTAATTCAATTCTCAGTACTTCAAATTTTACCTCTGGTGAAAGCTTCTTTTTAAATAAGAGACAAGTAAGTTTTATTTTCCTACTCTTATGCAACATAAAGAGTGGACATAGCTAATAACATCCACATGTTTAGAAATACTACATATATCATAGATACATGTACAATAAACCACGCTTATAGAAAACACACTTTTAATAAAATTGATGTTTAAAGCAAATCAATTTTCATTTTTATTAGTTTTGATCAATTAATGGTAGACTTTATGGATTAAAAGAATATAGCTTATAGAGAAACAAAGTCGCCAGTCTCTGATACTTATTTCGTTTTAAGCATATTTTACTGTATATGAAGTTTTTGCAAAGTAAAAAGAGTTTGACTCGACTGAAGAATAAATGTTCTTGTCTATATTCAAATTAATAGAGCAACATCCTTAATCCTCTCCGAAAGTTTTCTTTTCCTGAAAATGGTTGCGAGATATACTTATGAAATTCACAGAAAATTAAGATTATTTTATCATGGAGGGCGTTGAACAAACAAACAAGCAATCAAAGAATTGAATCATTTCTGTAAGAAATTGTGCTCTTTACAAATGTTTTTTTAAAAAAGTAAAATCGGAGAATAATCGTTATTTCCATAAAATGTGCAGTGACCTTGGTTTAAAATATATTGAATGGAACTTTACTTGTGCAGAAATACACAGATCCAACTAGAATCAAAGGGGAAAAAATACTATCTTCGGACACTATTGGAATGCAAGCATATTACAAAACAGAATCTGTGTACATAAACTACATAAAATATTACTCTTTGAATTCTAACACTCATTCGAAATCGTGAATGTCCAGACCTTTTTGCATATATTATATATATTTTATTTTTATTTTTGGTAGTTTTGAGATTTCGAATAAAAGCCATCGTTTTTCTTTTCTTACTGTCAAGCAGTGGCTTTTTAGAATTGTTTCGAATAAGAGCAAGTAACACATGAAACAAAAACACAGGTAAAGAGTAAAAAGTGTGATAGGGATTACCGATATTCCAAAAATAAGGTAACACTTTTTGTATATCCATCAATCAAAGAGAAGAAAAAGTTACCTTTAACTTCGATTTCACATATATTTATATAGGAAAAAATCAGATACGTTTGGGTATAATGTTATATTCCTTGTATTGTAAACAGTGATGTAGCGACCAGAAGTGACACAGTCTTGGGTGACCTCATTAGCCAGTATTTGTTGTATGTTATGTTGATAACAGAGAGTTCCTGACCTCCAGTCTTTTGTATCAGATACATGCACAGAGAATCCAGAGAGTGTGTAGCCTTCTAGGGAGAAATGACAAAAAAATGAATCATTACAGATTTCTTTTTAAATCTATACATTAATACTGTTGATTAAATTACATTTCAACAGCTACTCCATCAAACCTACTTTGACATTTTACAGCTACTTGTGATCTTGAGGGACAGCAAGATGATCCTTTTGGGCATGCATTTATGTTGATTTCATTGCCCGCACAGTTTAAAACATTTTCATAAAAATCACTCGATGATATATCTACAGCTGTTATAAGATGGATTATCCCTAAAAATAACAAATGATATTTTTTCTCAGAAAAAAGCATATAAAGAAGAAAACAGAAGCAGAATAAAAAAGATAATTATAAGAACTGAATGTATCTTAAATTATATGAAAAGTACATCAATTTTTCTTGATGGGAGGATTTTTTTTTCATTCAAAATGAGTTTTAAAAGTAAGAAAGTACGAATAAAAGCACATACGATGTTTAAAGGTCATAGGATACAATTCCTAACACCATAATTTCACTTTTTAAACCCAAAGCTACATATGAAAGAATGTTAAATTAAGAGTAGTTATATTTTCTGGCCTTTCTTCTGCTGTGAAATAGAGATAAAGAGTATCCCACTTGTTACTTTTCTTACCCACTTGTTACTTTTCTTACCCGCTTATCGTTCTTGATTTTGTGGTTTTATGACGTCACAAAGGCCCGCTGATGCAAACGGATCATTGGATATAATGTACATCTACTCTATTTTATCAAGTTAGTTATATTTTGTTTTTGTGAATATAAACGCTTGTCTGTGTTCAGATAACTTATATGATGTCGTAGTTCCTTCATTTCAGTTTGAACAAGTCGTTAATGAATAACGGCAACTGAAAAACTGGGCTTTTCTTCGGAGGATGACCCTGCTGAATATCATATAACAATATATATTTTTTTTCTTAATAGGCAACGACGTTTTTTTTTTTTTTTTTTTTTTGTTTGACAGTCGTTTGTACTAGCTAACTCATAATATACGAGTTTGAGTTGTTTATTTCTTGTACTAGTTGTTTAAGACCATCTGGGAAAATGTTAAATTTCAAGAATTTTCTTTTACAAAAAAGTATGTAAAATCGAAAAACACGGAGGAGGGGGACGGGGGGGGGGGAGAGTAAGAGACAGGAGATGGGTAGAGTGTTGTACATAAATAAGTAAATATAAATAAACGCTGTCAAACAATGAGAATTGAATGAATTGAATAAAACATTAACACAAAAAAAAAAATTGTTTAACTTCACATTTAAAAAAAAAAAAACATAAAAGCCACAGGCCCTATGATCATATAGGTAGCGCATTCACTAGGTCTATATTGTCCAGAAAAATTGAATCATTGACCACGTTGGACTCTTATATAAAAGTGAATTAATTCCCACTCTCATATACATAGGTATTTCTCTCTATCGATTAATTGCTTCTATCCTTTCTCTTAATCGGTCGAAGTGTCAGACGATGAGAATAATCACTGACTGATAAAACATGCTTAAGGTCTTGCAAATATGCGATTAAATTATAAAAAAGAAATACTAGCCTGTTTGAAGATCGTGTGATTATATAAGGTTTCAGTCATGATGATGATATTTCTTAAAATTAAGCTGCAAAATGGCATGACAGTTTGTAAACATTGCATAGCATTGAACAGCGACTGGGTCTTTCTGACGTCATAGGCTAAGGGAGATAAGCAACGTAAGTCAAAGCTCGTTTACCCGACTGAGTAATTTTCATCAACTGGGTTGTTGCTATCTTGCAATAAAAAAGCTGAATAACATTTTCAGTCTCATTTTATCAGCTCAGATAAAGTTATTGCCGTATGTAACTCAATATGTTCAGGTATTTGTCTCTTATGGCCTTAAATCTAAAGAATAAAACCTTCTTGCTTAATGCAAGGAATGAAGACCTAGGTTTCATTTTGTTATGCACAAGTTACATTTTAAAATAGAATAAAAATGCATTGAAAGCATTCGTTGATGATTGTTTTGTTTTTAATACAGTCCCTGAAACGTTCTACTTTCCCATTTTTCCGTTCGCTCACCGTTCGTTCACCGTTCGTTCAGCGTGCGTTCACCGTTCGCTCTTCGTTCACAGTATTGCGTTCACCGTTCACTGTGCGCTCGCGTTCACCGTTCACAAAACGTTCACCGTTCGCTCTTCGTTCCGTTTACTTTGCGTTCACCTTGCGTTCACCGTTCACTTATCGTTCAGTGTTCATTCGGAACTCCGAAGTGAAAGGACTTATCTTTTAGATGGTAAGGATTTACATGTTTTTTTTTAATTAAATAACTTAGATATCGTGTTTGAAGAATAATTATTTAATTGCAAAAATTATCTATGATATTTATATTTCTATTATTATAACTCCGCTGTTACTTATTTCATGAAATTTCCCTGGAAAATAATTAATGCATTAAGTACCTACATGTATGTAGAACGATACTAAAATATTAACTTCAAAAAAGGCAATGTACAAACGTTTCACGCACGGCATCAATTTAATTTAATTTTAAAGAGGACAAATGATTAACGGATGTATAGTAATCAATCCAAGTCTTTTACAGAACAAGAATATATAAAAAAAATTATTTCTACAGTAACACGTATATTTAAACTAAATGTAGGTTTGAGAATTATGAACAGTACTGCAAATATTCAGTTAATTAAATATCTTTAGAGATAATTAAATTGATGTTGTGGTTTTAAATTGTAGAAAAGACCAACTGTTTAAAATAGTCTACTACATGTATTAGAGAAGGAAAATTCCTTGCTTCACTGTACCTAAACATATGTTTAAAAATATGTTTTTTGCCCTTCCTTATATTTAACACCCCCCCCCCCCCCCGGTGCCTTTTCTCCCGAAATAAAATTCTTATTGAGTTTTTACAGTTTATTTTAATTTATATTTAATTTTTATTGTAACACAAGAAAATCAGTCTTAAAACCAACATCAAACAGTCATTAAACAATAGTATTTTCGTAAAAAACTGTGCCGACAGAAGTATTTTAAATTGGCAGGGAATAAGTTTCACATTCAATTTAAAACTTAATCCTTCCAAGTATATTATATTCGAATTATTTTTTTTTCCTGCAGGAATGCAAAATCAGATGTAGAAATGATAGGGAAAAATAATAAAATTTCTTGAAATACTAAGTGACTCTTTGCCCTCGGCATGTTCGGTGAAACGCGATTTCCACATCTCCACTGTGTCGAATTATTTTGATTGACAACACAAACACGCTACTTTAAATGTAGCACGGACTTCCTGTGAGCTCTGTGAACTTGATGATGGAAAATAAAAGCCAATGATTACTGTCAAATGGATTTGTTAATCTAAAAAAAAAGATTACCTTGATTGCTTGGAATATTTAGGAGAAATAATAAGAATTTTTATTTGATACAATATATATCTGAGAATCGAGGGG